AAGGGAGCTGTGCATTTTGAACACCTGTGCTCCTCTGACATTATGATTATGTCACTGTTCCCCGTCGGCCAGACAGCCACACCCATACGTACCCTGAAGCGCTCATCCCATTAGCTCATGCTTACCTCACCCCCTCTCTTTGTTACCAAGGGACGATGCAGGAAGGTGATGTGTGTGTGTGTGTGTGTGTGTGTGTGTGTGTGTATGATAGCCTACCATAGCTGTGTGAGAACACACTCTAGTGAAACTGGTGACTCAGATAAGGTGCCAGATGAGGTGGACGGCAGAGATGAGATCACTGGAGGCAGATGGAAGTTGAGTCAGGCTGTTTACGACAATTCTCTCGCTCACCAACCCGACCGCAGTGAGACGGGATGCAGATGCTTGTTTCCTCTTTGTGACCTCATCAGGAGAGCAGAGGGGTAACACCAGGATCACAGCACACATAAAATCATTAATGTAAAGCTGTGATGTCAAAGTTGCATTTCAACAAAAGGCCAGTAACCCAACGTACTCCTATTAAATCAAGTTCATCCCTTAAAGCCACTGTAAACACTATGTTCGTATTGTCAATGGATCACATGTTAACTTGTGTGTCACTTGTAGTGAAGAGCCCACTGAGATTTACTATCCCTCACTGCTGTTTAGCATCTTTCAGCTTGTTGGTGTGGTTCCGTTTTTTTTTCAATTGTGGGGTTTGCTTTTGTGCTCACGGTGCCGTTTGCAGCCACAGCAGGCGGCTAGCTTTCAAGAGCTCCTGTACACGGCTGCTCAGCACCAAACATCAGACACAAGTATATAGCAACAACATTTGGTTGCTAAAGAGAGACATCGGAGAGCAAAACAGAGCAAAAAGGAGTTGTTGCCGGACACGAGAATCCAGATGAATGCTAATGTTGTTAATCCTCTTTATTTTATTTATTTATTGGCCATGTGAAAAGACAACTGTTACATGTAAACATAAAGGTTATATGCTAATGTTATATTTGCAGCTTGTTTTCACCTCCCAGTGACCAGAAGGAATTAAACTGGTTGATACAGTGGTGTACAATTCGCTGTGCCTTTGTGCTAGGCACAATAAATTCGTAAAAAGCTAGTACTACTATTACTACTACTCCTAATAATAACTGTATTACACTGCATCGTCTCAAAATAGCCAATCCCACATAATATGATTCGTCCCATCTTATAACATCTTTTCTTTAAGACACCTGGACACCTGGTAGTTGGATGGCGGCTGTGTAATTTGGCCGTATTGGCTTTCAATTAATTTGAAATGAGCTACAAAATGATGACTGGGATTTTAGTTACTCCCCTCTTCCCTCCCCGGTGGCTCTGCCTCTCCTCTCATTCTGCTTCCCAACTTTTTTCCTGTGATAAAAATCAGCAAATATGAAAAGTAAATTCTGGAGGAAATGTTTGCAAATGGGTTTTGGGTAGATTGTGCATTAATATTTGATTTAGTCATAAAATAGGGGTTTAGTGCATAAATGGCTTTTCCATTGCTGTCACTCCGTTTTACCCCCTCGCCTTCTTCTAACCTTCCCACACCGATCACAATGGTAGCATGGCTAATGACCATATTTATACATAATTGAAGACTACAGATTTCTTTAGGGAGATGGTGGTTGTCCAAGTCTCATTGGAGGACTATAGAATATCGGAAAATGATTAATTTTATAATATTTAAGACAGACGCTGAGCAGTTTATCTTTTAGTCATAACATCAATTGTGCATTAGTTTAAATTCTTTGCAAAATTTAAAAAAAAGTCCACTTACTTATGAAGATCTGCTCTCACATAACATCCAAGAATAGAAGCACTGGCTTTCCGCTCAGATATTATGCCTAAATGATGTGACATTGTAGCCATTCTAAGATCATTTGGGACTCCGGTCTGTTGGTCGGCAGCATTGTTCACGGTGCTGCTGCCCCACAGTGCACCCTGGCTGGCTGGACCACCGTGACAGCTGGAGTGGCCGTCACCTCTGGCTCCCAGTTGCTTCCTTGTTTTCTGACCTAATAACACTTCATCTGGCAAGACCAGTCTAGATTCACCTGTGGTAAACATCTGTGTATTTGAGCCAGACGGGGTTTTTTGTGGAGTTCTAAACAAGTGCGGCCTGATGCATCAGGTGATTCCAGCTAAGATCTGTTAAGCTATCAGCCGTGGAACAGTGCGACTTTGGGACACTCAAATACCAAAAGATGCTCACTGGGTAGTCCACCGTGTAATGAACCCCACCGACCTGGCAGCAAACCGATCAATCATTTGATCAATAATGGATACTCAGCCACGGGTTTAATAAACAGTGGGTGTTTGGCCATTATGGTAAGTGAGCGGGTCGGACACACTGAGGCCGGTTTGGCTTCAACCAGGGAGAGATCCTTCAGCTCTTCACGGAGTTTGATAAAGATTAATTCAATCCTATTTTCTGCCCTGAAATGCTTCTGCTAATGTAACTCTCAGTGTCGGATCCCCCCCAAACCCTGACTCTTTGTGTGTGACTGTGTGTGTGTGTGTGTGTGTGTGTGTGTGTCTCCTCGGGAACACTAAGCACCTCGTCCATGTAAAGGACTAACAAAGGCAGCAGGAAAAGAGAGCCGTGGTTGTGTGCTGTAATTCTCTACCAGAGATTCATTATCTGCGTATAAGTACTGGCAGGCTGAAAGACGCTCACACTTTTCATTTGCTGGTTACAGATAGCGTGTCCATCTGTGTGTGTGTGTGTGTGTGTGTAATGAGTTTAGAATGCTGTCGGGTTTAGAGGTGCCTTGGCTTGTTGTGTGCACCTATGTGAGTGTCATCTTCATTACATACATCTACGGTCACACATAATATGAAGTGAGGAATCATTGTTCGGATGATGCTTGAGTAGAAGGCCTGCTCATGAAGTGGAGAGCCAGTAGAGGGTGCTGCACAATCCAAGTGATCCACTTTATCCATTTAGAAAAAGAACGAGACAGATCTGCATTTGTTTTCATACTACTAATTATCCCCAGGTACTGTTGTAGTATCGTTTTATTTTAGTTAATTTATGTAGTATACAGCATCCTTCAGAGAGGTACAAGACATGCAATGACAAACCTAAAAACTGGAAAGCAGATGGCAGAGAAAGATATATACTAACTAGTAACTAAGTAAGTTAACTGATTCACGGTCAGATTTGCCGAAGCCATCTAAATTCCCTTGCAGGGGTAAAGAAACGTGTGGCGTAGTATCCTACAGTGTAATTGAGGGTGTAATAGTTGCCCTCCCTGTATGTGTGTGTGAGTGGGGGGGTCGAGCCATGCGAGTGTAAATCTGTGTATGGAGGACGCTCAGCTTGTGCTCTTGTTGCTCTGGTGTTGTCACAGTGACATCTACTGCTTACATGTTCGACACCTCGCCCCCCCCCCACCACCGACACACACAACGCACTAGAGACATTTCTTTACGGGTGTCCATACTGTGCGAGTACATATGCTTCACTCTGCAAAATGAGCCAATAAAGCCTTCGCGTCAAACTAATTATAGCGTGGTCGTGCTCAGGGATCATCTCGTTTCTCTTCTGGCTGCCTGGTGCTGCAGTGACCTTCCCCGGGTCACAAGTATCATTCGGCCCTTTTCGGTACTTGATTGAAGACTCTCCATAAAAAAAACTCTGACACCAGCCTCTTTGCACCGAGTGGTATCGGCGGCGCATTTTGCCACTTATGAAATGTTTTCAGTTTGTCCGTCTCAAGAGATTTCATCGATTCAACACTTGTGTTCCTCTGAGATTGTTTTTTTGCTCACTTGCTTTGCTGCAGTCTGCTACAGTGAAACATTAAAAAACGATTATAACTGAGTATGTGCTTTTTTTTTAAAGCAATTTTACTAGGAAGAAAATAAATATTGCTTATAAATCATGCATTATTCTTTAACTTTAAAGTAACATTCAGCAGTAAAAAATGAATTTACTTTCTCAAAATCACAACACAGGTCCCCCAGATTTTATGGTTATTTAATACTATATTTACCAAGTCAGCAAAAAGTCAATTTACATCTGTTGACCATTTAACATTAAACCCAGAAGAAACTCAAATTCAGCCAATAACTCAAACCAAACATGTCAATACTTTGCTTATTTTTGCTGATTATTTCTCTGAATGAGAGAAGGAAAGAGTAGTCAGAGTAGTAGCACTGCTACTGTGTGTGATATTTTTACATTGTGTATGGCGTGAGCTGGTATTTGAAGTTCTTCTAAGGCGGCGCCCCTTGCTCACATTGTATATTTATTTCAAGTCTCTCTGAGTAGGAACATCTGCTACATATTAAATACAATAAACGAGTACTAGCCCATCACAAAGTCCCACTCCAGGCATCACTGTATGTGAGGAGGGTGTGAGAGTCTCTGCTTATCCCTCTCAGCAACTGGTTAGTGTGGTTTTTGGAATATTAATCGAGTCGGGTCCTAAAAGCCGGCTTTGATCGTGACCTCTCTCTCACACACACACACACACACACACACACACACACACACTCACAGAGCAACCCTTCATCCTTTGCTAGGATGTGAAGATATTCTCTCCTGACTGGTGGATGGATGAGGAGTGCCGAGGTGTTGGTTACTGCAGTGCTTAGAAGTCAAGTGTGTGTATTTGTGTGCGTGTGTAGTTGTGTGTGTGTGGGGGGGGCGTTCAGCTGCAGCGGCTCTTCTAGACCCCTTTCGCAGTTGCTGAAGACATCGAGTATAAAATTGCACACTCTTTCAGACACACTTCATCAAAACCCACAAGGTTGTACTTACACGTGCGCGAGTGAGGAAAAAGCTTTTAGATATTGAATGTTGAACTAAACTACACTGTGAAGTTGTTTGGATGAAGTAGCTCAGACTACTTTGTAAAAATGATTCAATATGAAATTGCATAGAAAATACCACTAAGCCATATGTTAACAAAACAAATGGTTTCCATGAGATTTTCTGTTTTAAGACATTTAAGACATTTCTCTTTTTTATCTCTTTTTTTTTTTTTCAGCAACAACGGCGTCTCGATCTGTTAACCATCACCAACACCGGTAAGTCCTTGAGATCACATGACTTCTGACCCGCTGTCCAGCTCTCCACTTTAACTCGCCCACGCCGATGATGTAAAACGGCACTGCGACGCTCCCATCAGAGCTCTTTCCATCTCTTTAATGTGGATTTGACAGAAACACGGCAGTAAAACACTCAGTGTGTTTCCGTCTAACCCGACACGGGGCGCAAACACAGGCACACACTCCAGAAACTTTAAACCTACATAAATACAGGTCTTGTTTTGACAGCCACTTGCAAACGATATGAAAAAACTGCTGAACTGCATTTCCAAAATGTCGTCATTTACTAAATGTGATCCCCCCGCATGTAGTCTCACAATGTACTGCAACACAATCCCATAATAATCCAATCAACATACATCCAGTATATTTTTCTCTATTTCATTCAAGCATAGCAGCAGTTTTAGCATTTATTCTCATTTGTTTAAACATTTTACATATAGGTAGGTACACGGGTATTTCAGTAAAGCAGCTAAATATACGACTTTATCGGAATTATATACCATATATGATACATGGTGGCATATGGTGCCTGAGGTTTGACTGTAAACATGAAGTAGTTCACTCTTATAAATCCATGGCAGCATCTTTCTGTAGAGAGAGGCAGCTGCGAGGACGAGGAATCTGCTGAGATGGAGAGCAAGTAGAAAATTCATAAAACGGGGGAGGAGAAACAGATGGGGATTGTGAGGACACAGAGACCCATATGCCTAAAATATCTGGATGATCTAATATGCTTTGATTAGAATAACGCCCGTGTGATGCTCATGGAGACCGGGTTAATTTAGCGAGTTTATGTTGCAGATGTTTCTTAGGCCCTGAGCAGAGGCAAGACTCTCCCCTGGACAGGCCGACGGTGAGAAATAAAGGGAAGCGAGATGAAGACATGAGGGGAGGATTACAAGTTATATAAACTTATATGCTGACACATGTTTACAACAACTAATTTGGTTTTGTTCCTCGTGGACAAATTCATTCCCTCCAATTTCTCATGTCTTGCAAGTAGCAACATGCTGCCATCACCATGTTTTAGGCCTTTGAAGGCGGAACACGTGGTGGTTTTGTTTTTGACTCACTACAGATGTGGGTTGTGCTCCTCATGCTTTACGGTTGGTATTCTCGATGTGATCTGCTCGGAACAAACTCTTGGGTGGCCCTTCTCTCTCTGCTTCTGATACTCAAACTAGAAACTAAAGGGAAACACATCTCACAAACTATAAAAACAAAGCTGTGTGAAAACTTTAACGCACAATTGAAATGACTATTAATGATTTTGAAAACCTCTCATTTTACCGCAGCAGAAACCGACTTTAATTAAGAACTACATAATATTGTCACTTGTTTACTTACATGGATCATGCGGAGGCATCATTGTTATGTTTGAAAGCTCCTAGACTTGACTTTGGATTGTGTGAAATGGCACGACGACCTGATAAATACTGAGTCATGTCTTTTATTTGCCTGCAAAGCTTCGTCTTGGGTGATAATAAAATTCAAACTAAACTGTGACAGTCGCCCTGACATCCCATCCAGGGAATCTTAATACATTCTTTTTTCTCACTTTGCATCTCTTCGAATGAGCTTACAACATGAACTGCCCTACTTTGGGGCTCAGTCTACCTCCATAGAGAGACCCTATGGACTGTAGTAGCTTTCAATTATTTCTCACTGAAAGGTTTCCTCCTTTAAGCAGCGTGGAGCTCACTGTGTGGTGTAAATTATTACAGGTCATTATTCAGGCTGTTGTTGCTGGTGGCCTTGGTGGGTAGTCCCTTATATTCTTAACTTGATCCTGCCCTGCTGCTTATTACTATTCACGGTCGGTGAGTGGACACACACACACACACACGCGCAGACTGAACACGGTGAAGGTTATTATGATGGCCGTATGAAGAGCAGGTGAGGTTTTCAGATGAATGACTGATAGGGAAACGCTGGCAGAAGACCTTCTCCTCCCTGCAGATTAAAGGACTTTCCCGTTCCCTCGCTCTCTTTCTCCTTCTCATCCTCCCGCGAGGCTCCTTTCCTTCGGCTGCTTCTCATTCTCCCTTCGCTCATTTGACTTTAGCATCTCTCGTTATCCGCCTGTATTTATTTGCGATGTCATATTATCGCATTGCCCTTTGTTTTCCCCTGTGTTTCTGTATTAAACCCTCCTTTCTCGGTCCGTCATTCACCTCTCTTTGTCTCGTCTTCATAGCCTTGACAGCAGGAGGAATCGCAGGGTGGGAACAAACTAATTGGCTCGAGTGGCTTCGTAACATGCTGTGTGTGCGCGCGCGAGAGAGAGAGAGATTCGATGAGGTTTCTCCCCCCGCTGCTCCGTCGGCCTCGGCCTCTAATGGCGTTCATTAGCCACCCTGAGAAAAGATTCACACTTACACATGTGTTCACACACGTCTAATCGAGCGCACATGTACTCGAGATGAAGGTCTGACGCGAGCACGCAGCGGCCGACGAAAAGCACACGGCATCCCTTTGCTATTTCTTTTCACACGCGCACACACACACACACACACACACACACACACACGCACGCACACACGGACCCACTCAAACCTCACTCGGCCCTCTTTAATTGGACACTTGAGCAGCGCACGGCTGCATCTGGCTTCTGTTGAACACAGCCTGACATTTCAGACTGCTGACCTTTCCAGCCCCGCCACAACTAAATAATGATTAGTCCTGGCAACTGTTCCACCGCAGCACAGGTACACGCACACACACATTCACATGAGCACGTACACGTACACACGGGTGCAGGCAGCACAAAACGAAAACAACAAAAACACCTGCACGGAAGGCTTTGTCTTTTCACAGTTAGAAAATGGGGTGCAGACATTGATTGGAGAGGCCGTTGTCGTTCTTTTGCTCTATCGATTAGATTGTCCTTTTCCATATCTGCAGTCAGCACCCAATAATGTGTTGTTCTAAATGAACTCTGCTTGCCTCTGTTTAGTTTCTCCTCTCCCCTTTATGCGCTCTCAGCATTACAGTGAGAAAAAAGGTCAATCATATTCATGAGATCTGGGCAGATTTGAGAGAATGGTTTGTGTGCGTGTGTGTGTGTGTGTGTGTGTGTGTGTGTGTGTGATTACTTGTGAACACACCTTTGGGTTTGTGCACAGATGTGTGTAGCATGTGTGTGTGTGTGTGTGTGTGTGTGAAAACTAAAGCAAGAAGCAGCGTGAGGATAACAGGCAGCTCTCTGATCTCCTCTCTCGCTTTCGTCTCTTCCACTTCTCTCGTTGAGTCTCGATTTCACTGCTGTTTCTGTCAGAACAGAACACAAATGCTCTTTATTAGAGCCTTTCTTGCCACAGCTGGTCTTTGTGTTTCCTGCTCTGCTCTCTTCTGAAAAACCCACTGCACATGGGAGGGCAGAGGGTTTTGCACAGCGTGCCGCACGCAATCAAATGCTGCGTCTAAATTTTACATGTGAAATATGTAAATGCACATGCACAATATGGACACATTTGTTAGGTAGGCAGTATTCGGTTTCACGAGTACATTTACTTGTAGTTTTACTTGTAGATTACATGGATTTGTAGGAAGCAGGACACGTGTTGTGCAGATGTAGTCATGATGTGGACATCGTATCTTCTTACCGTAGGCTTCTACTGATGGCTGACAAACGGCTAACGGGGAACATTTCTGATCTATTTCCCACTTTCACCAGCAGAGCGGACACGGGAATGAGGTTTTTCTACTAGAATGACACTTTGCTCAAATTACCAGGAGGAGCAACAGTAAATAAAACGAATACGCCATTTGGAAAATAGGAAGCCGTGGAAATTGGTTTAGCTGTTATTGCAGAAAGTTTAGCCATCAGCAACACGTTTGTTATCAGCCTAACAAAGTTATTATGGTCGACTGAAACCAGACAACACAAACCTCAGACTAAAGATAAGTAGAATAGAATTAACATATAAAAAAACATACATATTTTTTGTATTTTTAGTAAAAGAGAAGTGTGAATTTGGGGTCACAGTTTTCTCTCATTTACATGATGCACCAGCCCGGCCTTCTCTACGCCGCTTAAGAGCTTGCATTTCTCTAAAAGACGAAAGGCAGTATAGTGATATATCATGTGTTTACAGTATGTCTTTTGTTGTTTTGACCGGCATGTGTTTTCCTTGGTCACATTCTACTCTTGAACGTCTGTCATAGTGTTTTGGTGAATACCACGAATTAAAGTAACTTCTTCCGCATTCCTCCTAACTGAACCCTTTGTGCTCTCGGGAGTTGACCCGAGCAAGGGGGAAAGGTTCCTGCTCGCCCGGCAGGCATGTGGGTGCATACCTGAGCTGATAGAAATCTCTGGGCGGCTCGTGTGCACGATCAGCGCTGCTGACTGGCTGTTGTTCGGGCCGAGGAGCTTCACGGATTCGGTTTTTCAGCGGAGCTCAAGACTTTGCGCCTTTAGGGAGGCAGGCGGGGGGAGCACAGGGAGAGGAAACCGAGACAAACATTGTTTATTTCAAAAGAAAGTGCTGTCAGATGGGCTTTTGTGTAAAGGGACTGTTGTGAAAACAAAACTTCCCATTATTGCACTAATTATATCCTTTCTCTGTACATTTGCATATTTTATCTCCTTCTTCTTCATGTTGGACCGACTTCGCCTCCATTTTGACGCGGTTCAAAAAGAAACATAAAACAGACAAAGAGGGAGATGAAGGATGGATGGGGGGGGTGGGGCTTTATATTGAGTATTTTCCAGTTGATTTCGTTAAAGGCTTCTCAGCAGCGTAGCTAAATAATCAGAATGCAGAACGAGTGTGACAATTCGCCAGACTCCGAGCGATACCAGATAACCAGAAGGCCGGGTCAGCGCAGTATTGAAAACATTTCCAAAATATTTCTCTAGGTTCCACATGCCTGGAGGGGTTCTTTTAATTATTATTAAACATCAAGCATATATTGTTAATTGTTAGGAGTAAATATTCCCTGTGTTGCAGGCGAGGTAATTTCACGCACTG